ATTTTGTTCGAGATCTATTTGATATGTAAATAAGATATTTACCTACTACATAAGTATAAGATATGATAATGCTTTTTTAGATTTACGCTAATAATGTCATTTTAAATAAAACTTATCTTTTCGGTTTTTTCCGTTTTTTTTTGGTTCCCGACGTTTCGAATGCTTTACAGTCGGGAGAGACTAAGGTTATATTTTTGATATAAAATATGATGTTTTATAAAACTTATATTTTACTTGAAGTAAAACTAACAATATATCAAAATATATGTTATAATGACGTCATTATCAATCTTATACTAATAATGATCCTTAATTGAAACATAAATACTACCCCCTTTATAGATATTGAATTATACAGAAAATAAAATAAAAGAAATAAAAAGAATCTCATAACAACGTTCACTATATCCTTGCTTTGCCAATATCGAAATAATATAAGATTCATATTAACCAGACTCATCTCAAACATATATTGTTGCCATTTCATGAAAAAGATTTATTACTCTTTGGAACGATAGAAATTATAATTGAATATAAATTCCATATATTGTACGAGCAACATTTTCTGATCCTTCCAAATACTGAATACATAGCATGCAATATATGAACTACCTTGTAAATAAAGACTTCATGCATGCCTTTGTGTTTGAAATTATTCATATATTCAATACGTATATCCTCCATCGGCCGTCTTTTAAGCAAGGTTTATATTTTTTTGCACTTTTACTGTAAGTCAATCTCAAAGTAATCTACACTATAATAAAGCAGTAACTTAGCGGAATCTGTATATGAAATATTTAAAAAAAAATGATTGTAACCTATTATGTATACAATATAGACCCCAAAACAAAACTTATTATTTTTTGTCTGTTTGTGTGTGCGCGTTTCACGCGAAAAGTAATGAACCGATTTCAATGAAATTTGGTGAAATGATAATTTATTACTCGGATCAACATTTAGGATACCTTTTACTTCAGAAAATCGTACTTTCCCACGGGAAAACACAATAACTGTTTTATCGAGTCCTTCTTAGAAATCTTACGCTGTCTAATATTATGACATACATCAAAACAATGTACTCGTACTAAAAAATTGTAAGTCTTTATTATAGGCCTACAGAAAAATCTACAATAGTATATGTCTATACTAAGACACCTACAGGCTAGAAAATATTATACAAAACCTACCGAATCGATTTAGATAAAGATGATGTTAATTTTATTTAGTTGCATGTCCATAGTATCATTAAAAAATCTATTTAACATAAAACAACAAAAAAACTAATTTTTTTTTTTTGCTTTTATCACTATTTTTATAATTAAGTTAACTATATTAATGTCATGTGTAAAATGTAATTTAATATAATTTCTTTAACCATTTCTAAAGTGCGATTTGGGATGATAGAAAAAATAAAGTACGTATTTGTAGGATTATTCTACTAGAAAAGACTTTTTTTCTTTATTAGGTTAGAGAAGTTATCGGAAAATATTCTAGCGCCCAAAAAAAGTGCCTAATATACAATATGTAAAGTACTTAGATATAAATAGCTTTAGGTAAAAAGTATTATTTATTTGTACATACAAATAAAAAGTGGTAATTTCTAGAAGTAGCCAATTTAAAAAAATCTTACAATAATAGAAAACTACAGACTCTCTTAGCATATGGACCCTAAAGTATTTTTATCGATGTACAGCACGAGGGGAGTCGCGTGCAAAAGCTTTGGATAAAACCGCCCACTAACATAAACGTAATTAGTAGCAATTATATTTTATTAATAGAATCCATTCAAAATAAATACAACGTATAAAATATTGAAGCTTTTATTTACAAAATTACCAACATATAATATCACTTTGGGAATTTGCAGTTTCACTTGCATAACCATGAATATACATAACTAGTGTAAAAACAATAATGGTTACAATTCCTCGATAAATTGTTTATACAAGTAAATCTAAAGTACATGATTGAGAAACGAATAAATACATATCTTAAATTATTGACTGGAAGTATATAAGTTGAATTATATTGTAAAATTAGTAAAGTCGTAAAAATATGCGCAATATAATTAAACGAAATTAACTATTGATTGATAACTATATTTTGAGTAAATCGAAGTATCTTTACAATATGACGACACGTTTGGCTCAGATTGTAATGACCCTACTTGCTGTGCCGCGGTCGCGGGTTCGAGTCCCGCTGGGGACATTCATTTGTGTGATGAACACAAATGTTTGTGCTCCAGTCATGGGTGTTTATAATATGTATGTATTTAAAGTTATCTATGTGTAGTATATCAACTGTCTCGTATCCGTAACACTGGCCTCGTAACTTACCATGGAACTAGATAGTGTTATGTTAATGTCCTAACATAAAAAGAAAATAAAAAATAAGATATATAATTTGACTGTAAATTATATATAGTTCAGGCAAGATGACAATTAAAAAATCGCTATAGCTAATAATAAAAACTATAAAATATATTAGCATGACATGTCTAAACGTTATATAATGCTTTATTTAATGTTATTAGAATGTGTCATTTCCTTCGTGTCTTTTCGATTCTACTTGACTTTGGCAAAGTAATCTGTAATCTCATTATCAAAAAAAAAAATGAATATGGTATTCTTATAGTTTTCGTATTGCTAATCAATAGAAATTATAAACTGTCTGTTAATAATTTAGTTTATTATACCTTTCACTCATTTACTATTTTTATTAAATTACAGTTCATCAGTATCCCGTTGAACAAAGAATATTGTAAAATTGAGCTTATTATATCGATCTTTTGGACTGAAAATAACGTATAACTATTCATTCAATGTTAGCATGTCTAACATATTTTATATCGCCCGATTGTTCTAACGTGCGATGAGACATGTTCGTGAAAAGCTGCCGTATGAAATTTAAATTGTTTTTAAAAGTCAACATGCAATTATTACTTATTTGTAATTAATGTATACTGTATGATACTCAAATTTTTTAAACAATAATATGTGTACATATAATATGTTGAAAGCTATACTATATAATATGCAAAAAGTTTGTTGTCCTAACCTCTCTAATTTCAAATAATATAAAAACTATTTTACCTATATACTTTTTAATTAATTATATTATTCAGATTGTTAGAAACTTAATTCGGGTTTCGCTTATAATAAAGGTGTTGTAAATTATTCTGTACAACTTTATGCCAACTTTCATCGTTTTCTTCAAAGGGTATACTCAAAATATAGCAATCATGCAATCATTTTATTAAATAGCACGAAGCAATAAATAAAGATAAAATAATTTGGCATTTATCTATTACTAAAAAGCGTAATTTATTGTCACAGGTGTGAGAAGAGAATGACAAAAAATAGAATTATCAGAGACTCAGTAATCAAACGTTATCAGCTATTTATGACAATAACTTTAATGCATTTTTATTTACAACAATTTTACTTTACAATTTTAACACGAATTAACAATCATTGTGTCCATCACCTAAGTAAACTTGAAATAGATATGTTTCAGACTTCATGTAAAATTAATCAACGTACAAAATATTTTTGCCCTAGTCATTTCAGTTTACACTAGGTCCAGCACAAAATAACATATAAAATAAATTTGCAATTCATAGCATTATAATCGAAAATATATACTTAATATAACATATTTTACAAGCAGTTTCGTTTGAAAGCTCAAAGAACGAGTCGCGTAATCGTTTTACAATACGTATTACGCTTTTTTAGTTTTTACATTGGTATCTACACGGTTTCCGAGTAAATGGTTCCGTAACATTAAATAACTAAATGAGTTAAAGCAGTTGAATATATTAACTGTATCTTCAAGAAATAATTTGCGCAAGTTAAATATAGAAATCTTTAGACACATATAATAAATAACGTACACTAGCCTTTTCACGTAAACTTCTTTGATTTGAAATCAAAGTATAAGAAGAAATTATATTGGAAGACAAACAAATGCATAACAAGATGAGACTTCCCTTAATTTAGATGGGAATAGTTGATTGATCAAAATACAATATTTGCCCGCGTATAAAATTGTCATTTAAATATCTATTTACATTTCTAACTACATCCTATAGCGTTGTTTTAAGACCCTTGGTGGAGTTTGAATTAGTACCACGAGATATACATATAAGTAAAGATAAAAAGGATGCATATGAATAAAATAGAAATCCCGTTGTGCATTATCTTTTAGAACAGAGTTTATTGAATAATTCAATGTTATATCTAATTATTATTCGTTCTTTGATATACAGCTTCTTAACACTTAAGTACTATATGTAGAAATAGATAGATTCATATCCTTGAGTAATTTGTTTAGGGACCCAAGTACGTGATAACAGTTTTTGTGAAGAGATTTTCTTTGGCATTTCTTTTGTTGTTTCAATTTTGAAGATACAAATATGCGTGTTCTGCGTCTTTGTAGATATTTCTGTCTGATTTGATTATGTTATAAGTAAGTGAAATGAGATATATGTAAAAAGTAATATTAGCGCAGCCTAGTTAATATTTCACAATTTGTTATATTGTATATATCAATACATTTTTACGTCCAATTTTCAATTTTATAAAATATAATATTCATTTATTTATAACATGTATAATAATCATTTAAATAAACTAAACAGTTCTTTAAATTATTTTAGCAAGAACTACGCAATACGTTTTACATTTATAAAACATAAGTACCTTATAATATAAATTTGCCTTTTAAAAACGATCGATATCTTAATCCAATCAACTCGCCAAATAAAATTGAGTAGAATATATTTTTTATTTATTCTCCCAGCGTGCATGTTCAGGATACTGATTATAACGAAGCAATAAAACAGTAAACATCAGACGAATATTTATTAGGTACATAACTATAAAAATTTTAAAATTCAGATTTGTGTTTATTTGAATATATACGAAGGTACTATATCTACATTTTGGCAATTGACATCCTATGTTTCATTGTGAATTGTAAAATATGACGTGTTATTATTACTTTTTTCTTTGACTGCTCATTAGCGTTCGAACTCTCTTCAGATTGGTGATAGTGATTTCGTCGTTAGGTTTCAACTGCAGGGCGCGGCGGTATGAAGTGGCTGCTGCTAAGTATTTTCCATTCAGATGCAAGATTGCCCCGAGATTAGAATGAAACTCTGCATCCTACAACAAATAATCACAATAAAACAAATATGTCCACAAAGAGTAATATCACTACTGTAGAATACTAAACCAGATTGTTAATATTATTGATACATATTTTACAATCTTTGTTTTAATAGATGCTTACATTCTATAATATTTTAATCTAAAAAAATAGTAGAAAATATAAGTTTCTTTAGATAGAATCTAGAAAATTATTTGACTTTTAAGATTTAGTAACACAGATACTGTCTTTGAATTACGGTATATTTAGGTAAACACTTACTTCAGGATTTAATTCCACTGCTCGTGCATACCAGCGCTCCGCGGAGCGACAGCGTCGCGCGTCTCTCAAGGCACGTGCCGCTGAAGCCGCGCGTACACTATCAGTGGGTGACAGTCGAGCGGCCTCCACTAATTGTTCAGCGGACTCGCGTAGTCGTCGTTGTGATCTCAAAAACATACCTAGTAAACGATATTACGTTTAGATTTTGTACCAAAAAGTATGCAACTTCAAATCATAAAAAAAAATATACTCAAACTTCAGTGATAGCCAAAAATAATTCCAATATCTACATTCATTATCTTACTACTGACATCGGTGTTCGAAGTCGGCTTCTAAAATATTTGATTAGGTATCTATATGTATAGTAAATGAAAAGTACCAATCAGTTATTTTTTATTTTTTAATGTTTTTTTTTTAAGTCGGTTTTTTTCCCCCTTTTTAGTGTAGACAGTAACAAAGGAAGATGAAAGTATTTTAATAAAATATTTGCTTAAGCCGTTTAAGTTAGTGCGATGCCAATTTTAAACACTACAAAATTTTGGCTTTAAAATTCAATTTTAACGTATTGGACTTCATAAATTAAAGAAAATAAGCTCAAACTCAAAGTATCTACTAGTAACCGTTGAAGAGTCCACCCCTTGGCCTTAGCATCAGATTAGGTCGACGATACCGAACCACTGCACTATCAACGGAAATAGAAACACAAAGTTTCAAGTCAATAATATCACAATTAGAAGTAGGTAAAATTTTTATTAGTTATTTTTCCAACCTTAGAGGTGATATTTGTTTTTCAAATTAAAATAGAACCAAATTGGAAGTATACACTTTCAAACGAAACAAAAATTGTGCAAATCCGTTAATAAATGACGGAGTTCTGATGTAACAGACAAAAAAATACAGCCGAATTGAGAGCCTGCTGTTTTTTGAAGAAGTCGGTTGAAAATAGAAGAACTAACTATAGAGGCTGGCTAGTTTAAAATAAACATAACTAAGAACGATGTTAATCTATAGTATGAGCGAACCCTTAAATCAAGTTTTCATTTTTCCTCATCCTTTTTAATCTTGTATTATTTTTTGGTGTTTAATGTTTATAGATTAAAGCACAAAAGTGGTTAAAGTCATTGAGACTAAGTAGTTAGAACTATTTAGAATTTGAATTGGCATTATATAAAATCCACTTGCAAAAATTATTATATAAAATGTAATTTACAATAGTTGCATTTACAACCAGAAATTGAAATACATTTTAGATATTTCTTAAATAGCCCAATCTCTTTTAGATTTCAGCGCTTTTCATTAAAAGTCGTCTTTTGTCCACTTAATTCAATAATGTCGTGACTTTATCTGCTTAAGAACTAAATTGTTGAGATCCCTATTCAGTTATTAAATTCTAAATTACACTCTAAGAATCTAATATTAAAAATTCTTACCAAACTGATCTCGAACTGATGGGTCATCAGGGGCTAAAGTTATTGCTTTCTTATACCATGATTCTGCCTCCATACTTCTGCTAGACTGTTTGAATAAAAATTTTAAAATTAATTTAAAATAATCAAGGGACTAATTACTAAAGGTTAAGACAGTTAAAACTTACATTTCTAGCAAGGATCTGAGCGAGTGTGACGTGAGTTCCCACGTGATTTGGAGACAGAGCAAGCGCAGATAGGATGCTATGCTCAGCTTGGGGCCACTGTTGCAGCTGCATATATATTTCACTCGCCATCGATAATATATTCTGAATAAAAATACAACCCATTAAATACCACTACAGAAATGTGCAAAATTGCTAATTAAATACGCGCAGATTGCTTAAGGGACGATAACTTTTAAGTGATGCTAAACTTCTGGAGAATCAAAGTGGCCATAAAGTTTTCTGGCCGCGAGCCAGGGACAGGATTTCAATAGTAGGTACATACGTGTCGCGTCCATCCGACGATTGGTGCATTCGTGTCGGGAAGTATTTGCAGGGCGTCCTTGTAGGCTGAGAGTGCTTTGTGCCAATGTCCTCTTTGAGAATGTAGGGATGCGAGCTGCACTAATGCTGATACGCGAGCGGCGTCGTGTTCACGCCGATCCCGCACGCGAACGCCGTCCGCACGTGCTCCTGCACGCAATGCGCTTGCCGCTTCAGCTAATCGCCCGTCCGCCATTAATGATGTGCCAAGATTTACATAAGCCACTGAAAATTATGCTGTCGTTATAAATAAATAAAACATCAATAAATCACCTAATTTTGTCACCTCTCAAACATAAAATTACAATACTCAAAAATACATCATTCACTGAAAAAAGATCATTAAAATGTACTTACAAGCCATGGAAGGTCGAAAATAAATTGCTCTCTCGAAACTTTTGATAGCTTCCCCGTAACGCCTTTGGTTTTGATGTAAAATCCCTCTGAAACAACGAAACGGGCAAATTTGGGCTTGTTCTATAATGTGCATGATACTCCAACTATTGGTTAAGTAATTTCTCTGGTATTCGTCACATTCATGTGCTTATTAAATTGGTTGAGTTTTGTAAGAGCGTGTCTTTCTTTTCGTTCGTTCGTTTCGTTCGATTTTCTAAGGACTGTTAATGGGCTGCCATTGTTTATCAGTATATTGTTATCAATACTCAAGGATGTGCTGGATGTCGTAAAGTGACCTGATACCCTGAGTGAAGCAAGGGTGAACAGACTGCAACTTACAAATTATTATATAATAAAAAAAAATTACGGAAAGATAATATATAGACACTTATTGAGAATGAGTGACTAGGGGTTCAATTTTAGTCTTTTTGTATCACGGAATCCTAAAAATTAAGGTTCATCCGGTTATTCTCGAGAATTCTACTCATATAAATTGGCACTTGCTCTTTAAGGTAACAGTGTCGATAACAGAGATGATATTAATAACTATTTGATTGTAGCTATACTTGGGTACAAGGCTTCGATAATATACTTAAGTGGAAATATTGTAGGCCTTGTGTAGTTCAACCCTTTTGCCATATTGCTTATAAGTATCTTTTGATCCGCAATTTTGGTGGTAATTTAATAGTGAACAATTCCCTTTCAGCAAATATCCGGCGTATAGATTAATTACTACACTTTCGGTGCTTATACCGATTTCGTTATAACATATCGAGACAGATAAAGGTTTATTAATATTAATTACACTATAAAAGTCATATCAATAAAATACTCAGCAAAAGTAAGCGTTTCGTATTATGTCCAATAATTGGTTAATTTTTTGGACAATATTTTTTACAGCCTGTGTTTGTCTTTCAACTAACCCAAATAAACTTCTATTTCATTGTTAAAATAAAAAATCATTCTATCTGTTGCAGTTGTTAGCGTGAACAGCGTCTATCAAGTAACAGCTTAATACCAGTGTATGCCTGACTAACGTACTGACTGAAATCTATTCAGATAGTTTGTGTAATGTGGAGGGGAGGGGAGGAAGGAGGGATAGGGGGAGGGGAGAGTTGCTAGAAATCAACTGCAAAATTGAGTACAAGTACTGCTTAGTAAAAATAATAAGATATGGGATGCATATTTTACTTGGAAAGAGCGGTTGATGTGAAATCACGGGTACAATATACTATATACATTTTCGCTCGTCCCTACATTCTATCCCATACAGTTAATTTATTTATCATATTACTCTATCAAGATTAAATTCGATTAGTAATATACTAATATACATACGTAAATCAATATTTGTGTATGCAATGCTGTAAACTAATTTGTCGCAATGTTATAACAAATTCTGATTTGATACATTATTACTATGTGTAAATCATAAATTTTAATAACAATAACGCCCTATAATATAGATGAAAGTGTAAATGTAATTTACTTTAAGTTTAGATGTACATAATAAACGGTAAAAGAAAAGAATGTACGCATGGCTAAATAGCTGTAAATAAAAAAACATAAAAATAAAAAACTCGACTGCGTAAAAAAACTAACTAAAAAGGTAAAACATACGTAGTATCATGGAGTCGGAGACATACTCGTATGTAGTACGTAGACGTAGCAGGACTCGCAGCAAATATAAAATACTAGCAGAACCCGCGGATTCAACTAACGGCTAAAACTACAAAAAAATCTCTAAAAAGGTAGTTCCATACAAACTTTCATCCCCTATTTTACCCCCTTATAGGATGAATTTCAAGAAATGCTGGAATACGTATTTATTTACCTTCATTACAGAACATTTAAGTATATCAAGTTTCAAGTTTGGCTCAGTGTGTAGTTACCCTACTTGCTGTGTCAGCGGTCGCGGGTTCGAGTCCCGCTGGGGGCATTAATTGTGTGATGAGCACGAATGTTTGTACTCCAGTCATGGGTGTTTATATTTATAATATGTATGTATTTAAAGTTTATATATGTGTAGTGTATCAACTATCTGGTATCCATAACACAAGCCTCGTAGCTTACCATGGCACTATACGGTGTTGTGTGTTAATGTCCCAACATATTTATTTATTTAAGTAATTCTGATCAGAAATATTTCTTTGGACTGTATTATAACGTGTTTTCCCGTGGGAATTAGATAATTTTCCGCGGTAAAAAGTAGCCTATGTCACTCTCCAGCCCTCCAACAATCTCCACACACATCAACAAAATCCAAACAATATTTAAAAAAAATCACGATAATTCGTCACTCCGTTTCGACGTGAAAGAAGGACAAAAAAACACACTTTCACATATATGATATTCGTATGGAAGTATGGATATGGATTATGTATGTCCCCAACTGTATAATACAATGTTTTTTTTTTGTTCCCATCTTTTAAGTCCCTTTTTTTTTAAAAGGATAGTTTTTATAACAATGTGAAAGTTTTTTTTTTCGTTTTAAATGACCACTAGAACGAAATTTGAATAAATAACTTAATTATACGTATGTATTAATTAAATAAATAAATTAAATAAATAACTTAATTATACATACATGGTGATAAATAATTTAAATTTGAACCAATTGCGTTAAAACCACGATAAAATAAAAAATTAAGCAGAAATATCTATAATCTATATACCAAAAAACAGGCAAAGATAAAACAGTTCAGTGCCTTTTTCTCCTGTTTGTCAACATATTTTTTTTTTGTTTAGCTATTGACGAGATTTAGTGTTATCAATAAAAAAATAATAACGGTCAAATTTGTACAACTGGACGAACACTAGTAAGTTAAATTAGACCATGAACGCATGTTACACAAGTACCTTACAACCGCCTCCGAAAAATCAATAATACAAATGTAATCAAAATTATGTATAAACAATCGAAGCGTAATATTGAGGAAGCCTCTTTTTTAATTCTTCATCAAATCTTTTAATACATAATTTTAATTACATTTTCCTAGAAACACTGATTTCATTTTCCTTTTAGGATTATTATAAAATTTTTCTTGTAATATCTTCAATATTAACATTAAAAAGCATTAATTAAAAAAAAATCTTCGAAATTGTTTCTTCGCTGGCGAAATTTACAATTAATCCATACTTTCATACTCAATATTATAAATGAAAAGTGTGTTTGTTTGTTTGTCCTTCTTTCACGTCGAAATGGAGTGGCGGATTGGCGTGATTTTTTATGAGGAGATAGTTGGAGGGCTGGAGAGTGACATAGGCTACTTTTTACAGCGGGAGATTATCTAATTCCCACGGGAATACACGTTATAATACAATTCAAAAAACATTTATGATAAGAACTACTTCAAACTTAGTATTATTGCTTTTCAATAAAATTAAATAAATAAGTATTTTAGCATTTTTCGAAATTCATCGTATAAGGGGTAAAATATTGGATGAAAGTTTGTATGAAATTACCTTTTTAGAGTTTTTTGTAGTTTTAGCGAGAGCAAAGCCGCGTGTTCTGCTAGTATATTAATAAATTCCAATGTAGTTATTAATAATAATTAGTACTAGTACTAGTTTTTATTATTCTTTTCCCACTAAGCTCATGAAATATCCCGATTATAAAAATAATAATTGCTTAATACATATGTATATGCATATTGATCCTTATAACCTATTAAAAATATACTAAAATGTTCTTTCAACTCGCAATCACTTATTTAGAATATTGTAATTTTTTACACTACTTATATGGTACAATATTTCAAAATCTAATTCTTAGAATAAACAAGCATTTAGCGGCTTCATTTATGAAATGTAATTGTCTATAGATGAAAAAAGTATTTTGTGATTAATCCCCGTGTTGGGACGGTTATTGTCTTGTTAAGATTTTTTTAGTTGCTGTCTTGAGTTGGACAAAGGTGTTACATGAGAGCAACAGTGTGAATTAGGATAGCTAAATATGCTTGTGAACTACTGTCTATACCTACTATAATATTATCTCCTGTGTAGGCGGCAAATCTATTGATATTATTATTATTATGTATATCATCAAAGCCCACATGCGCATAGCAGCCTCCTCCTCCTTTGGAGGGCATAACATAATAATGGAGACACAAACCAACACATAAGAGGCCTATTAAGAGATTTTAATTTGTTAAATATGAAGCTCAGTCGGAATCTATTTCTGGTTATAGAAAACATAAAATAATTACAATTACTATTGTACTAACGAAAATCGGTCAAATTTAAGAAATGCAAAACAAAACCTCCGCTTATCATTTGTACAGCCTGATAAAAAGCAGTTTAATAATACATAGATGTGGCGGTGCAATATGTCCGCATGAATAATGCAAGTGTACGGGGTCGGGCAACATGGGCTCAGCGAACACTAATGAGAACGGTCCCTCCCTACTACTATTGTACCCCACTGACGTTAGCAATAATTTGTTACTAATTCCCTCTAATTATAGTGACGTGCTTCGCGTTACGTCGTGTAGTGCTTAACGTTGCGCAAATACTTTCATTTATTCGCTACTGATGAATGCTAACATCATTACTCATATTCGCATATTATTTTGCGAATTGTTTTCATGAATCTTGTCGTATATACTTGGACTCCGATAAATATGATCAGGTTCGCACTATGGAAAAACTCTTGATGATCCAAATTATGAGAAAAAACAGTCTTGATGAAAAGAACAGAAAGTTGGTCTTAGAATTCTAAGCCAGAATATTTCTCTATGAGAAGATAGAAAAACTCAAGAAGAGGTAAGAAAAATTTAATGGTAGAAGGAATCACATACATATATATATAAAGGGGTGTCAAATTGTAAATATTCGGATTCACAGTATCTAATATGCTGCCCACAGCAGCTTTTCACAGCAACTGTAAGCGTTGAAATTAATTAGCAGGGTAACAAAGATCAATCTACAAGACTGTTATAAGATCAATTTTGTTGTATGGATGCGATACCTGGGCTTTTACTATGAAGGAGGAAAATAAGCTGAGACCTACGATAAAATGGATACCTATAATACTTTTTGCAAAACA